TTTGGAACCCACCTTGTATGGTCTGCACAGTGTATAGCTGTTAATTTCTGTTCAGTTGTTGATTTATTACTTTCGCCTTTTGTAAATGTTCGTGAGGCGTACGCTACCGGCAGGTCTTTCCCATCATAATGTTGGGTTAGGAATGCTCCGCATGCTTGTTTACTAGATCTGTTGATTTATTTTTCTTGCAAAGGTGAGTTAGGTGTCTTGAATAATGAGAGAAATTAGGTATGAAACGTCTGTAGTAATTACAGAAAGCTACGAATCTTCTTGATACATCTGCGTCGGACGGAACAGGATATTATGTTATTACTTCATATTTTGTATCATCGGGTAGAATACCATTATTTGTGCATTTGTGACCTAAGAATGTGACTTCGTGCCTAAAGAATGAACATTTTTCTGGATGTAACTTAAGATTATGTTTTCGACAAAGGTTAAATACGTTTGTTAAGTTTTTGACCATATGGTTTTCGGTACAACCTATTACTACTGAGCCGTCCATGTAAAGGAAGGTTTGGCATGGTTCTAGTCCCGAAAAGGCTAGTGTCATCATTCTTTGAAATGAATTAGCGGCTAATTTTTACTTCATAAGTTAATCTTTTGAATTGGTATGAGCCAGTGCTCGTTGAAAATGACGTGATGTCTTAGGATTCTTTTTCTAAAGTAATTTGGTCAAAATTAGGACATTAAGTCAAGACAAGAAAAGAATTTTGCTCTGCCAAGTTGATCCAATATATCTTCTTGGTAGTGGAAATTTATCTGCTAGTAGCTTTTTATTTATTTGACGGTTGTCGATTACCAATCTCCAACGCTTTTGTTCCGAACCAGGAAGTGATTTTTTGGGCACTAATATAAGTGGGCTATTAAATTCTGATACTGAGGGTTCTACTATGCCATCTTCTAAACGTTTTTCAACTGGTTTATCTATTTCTTCTTTTTGGCTATGAGGTGTTCTGTAGTTTTTAATATATACTGGAGTGTCATCTTTTACCCTTAACTTTTGTTCATAAAAGTTATGTGAGGATATGGGTTCTGTTTCTAATCCGAATATATCGGTAAATTCGGTACATATTTTAGTGAGGGTACTTTTCAACATTTTAGGAACATTTTTTGCTAAGTTGGATAAGATAAAATTTTTTCGTGTATCATGTTCAGGAGTTTTAAGTATTTTGTAATTGTCCAATGGTTGTATTTTAAATTCGGACAAATGTGTTAGTTGAATTAGTTAAAGTATTGGCTATAATGACGTCATCATCTACACATTTATTTTTAATAAGTATTTCTTTGTGAGAGGTAGTTAAGTAGATTTGTCTCACAGCTTCGGATTGTGGAATATTTATGTCTTGATTCAAATTTTGGGGTCGAGCTATTAGCTAATCATGATCCTTTTGAAAATCGAGTTGCCAATTAAACTTTTTTATGAAATCCATCCATATTGGGATGTCATTATCTACTATTTGGAAATGAAATGGGATTATACATTTTCCTAATTGTATTTCTACGAAAGTTAAACCCTGAGATTCAAGAGTACCTGCTCCTATTCCAGACATTGTTATCGTTTTTGTATCGTCTATTTCACCATATTGATCAGAATTTATTTTTAAATTACTTATGTCTGAGCCTGTGTCTATTAAAAGCGTTAAGGGTTTCGTGTGATAATTTTGAATACTTAAATAAACATTAAGACTGATATTTATTTTGTACAATTCTAGTGTTGTTATTTCCGTTGTTATTTGTTCCACAACGGTTATTACCATCGTCACCTCTATTGTTATTATTGGTATGGTTATTATAATTTTGGCTATAACCGTTATTTTGGTTGTATCTATTGTTTTGGTAATATCCTTTATTTTGTTAGGTAGCTCTGTTGTTACTCCTTCCACGATAATTATTATAATCATTGTTGAGAAGTTGCCAGCTTCTAAAATTGTCTTAAGTCGGCCGGTAGTCCTTCGTCTATGTATGAAGCTTCGAGGAGTTTACGAAGTTTCAGTTGTCAATATTTCTGCTGTTTTGCCCTTCTGGCTTGTTTTTGCGTTTTTGGCTTTAACTACGTCGGAAGTTTCGCCGACCATAGTGTCTTGCAGTTTTTGATTATGGCATCTTTCGTTGTTTCGTTTTGAACTCTGTATAATGTCAATCCTCTACAGCCAAAACTTCGAATGTGCCTTTTGTCAGGCTAACCAACTACAAAGCTGTTATGAACTCGGGGATGACATTTGATATTTCTCTTATGTATGCCATTTGGGCAAGCCGAAGTTCATATACCCTTGCAGCTATTGCAAGAATTAAACATTTTTGAAAACATTAAAATTATGATTTACTTTCGTATATGTTTAAAAACATTGAAGCTATGATGATTTGCAGCTCAATTATTTGATAGTTATTTTATATATTTTTATTATTTCTAAGGGAGCTATATGATATAGACGTCCGATTTTGATAAAATTTAAACCATAATTCTGAAATATTTAACCATTGCTATATGTCGAAGAACTAAACAAAAAATTAAAAAACAGAAAAGTTATAATTTTTTTCATTTATTTTTCCGATTGTTCCTATGAGAGCTATATGATATAGTCGTCTGACTTTGATGAAATTTAAACCGTAAATCGAAAATATTTAACCATTACTAAATTTCGAAGAACAAAACAAAAAAATAAAAAACAGAAAAGTTATAATTTTTTTTCATTTATTTTTCCGATTGTTCCTATGGGAGCTATATGCTATAGTCGTCCGATTTTGATGAAATTTAAACCGTAAATCGGAAATATTTAACCATTACTAAATGTCGAAGAACTAAACAAAAAATTGAAAAACAGCAAAGTTATAATTTTTTTCATTTATTTTTCCGATTGTTCCTATGGGAGCTATATGCTATAGTCGTCCGATTTTGATGAAATTTAAACCGTAAATCGGAAATATTTAACCATTACTAAATGTCGAAGAACTAAACAAAAAATTAAAAAACAGCAAAGTTATAATTTTTTTTCATTTATTTTTCCGATTGTTCCTATGGGAGCTATATGCTATACTCGTCCGATCCGGCTCGTTCCGACTTATATACTACCTGCAATAGAAAGACAACTTTTGGGAAAGTTTCATGCAGATAGCTTTAAAACTGAGAGACTAGTTTGCATATAAACGGACGGACAGACGGACAGACGGACGGACAGACGGACATGGCTAGATCGACTCGCCTAGTGATGCTGATCAAGAATATATATACTTTATAGGGTCGGAGATGTCTCCTTCACTGCGTTGCAAACTTCTGACTGAAATTATAATACCCTCTGCAAGGGTATAAAAGAACGCTGACTTTGATATAGTATTTATTAATTGCCTTTAATTAACATTCGACGGGTTTTGCTTAAACTTAACAAAATAAATGTGTGCTTCCCTCAACTGTTCTCTACGACAATCTAATGTCAGCTCGCTTACACCTGGGTTACACCTGGGTATCGATAACTTCTTAATACTATCGAGTACAGAAAGAGTTAGATAATGAATCAGATTGCGAGATCACTTCTGGTTGTCCTTGTTATACCACTACCGCATCCCACATATAAATCTACAAAAAATTAAAACAGCGACTCAATACTCACCATACAAAGCGCTTATTGAAACTGGTAAAGCCAATTTAATTACGCTTCCCAGAAAAGTTCATCTTAAAGAGGAGGTCCTCGGAAATTATTATCTATAGGTCGAGGGCTTTTCCGTCGCCGCTAATCATGTTTTTAAAGACCGGTATCTGCAAATAAAAAGGAATTATTAGTTTAAATCTTATGAACATAATTTTAAACATTTTAATGAGTTTTTTATATATAACTTTTATGGCCCAAACTATTTACAGAATGCAAACTATTTAATTTTTCCCTATCATACATATCTGTCAATACAGTTCTGATTTTGGAGTCAAGTTCTTTAAATCTTCCAACGAAGCCACCGGAAAAGGCCTCTTGAGTGCATGTACATTTTCCGTTAGTACGGAAACACAGGCCGGTATTTTCGTATTGGTCTCAATGACAACTTCTAAAATAAAAATAATTTTGTTTAATAGCTGCATTATATTGTTAACATTTTAATTATGTTTTTATGGTACAAGTGATCAAGAGTATTCAAGTATATATCGGAGAGCTCAGAAATTGCGACCTGAGTTAATAATGGCATCAAATGGTGAGAGTAAGAATCTAAACACGGTTAAACAGGAAACATTAAGCGCAAATGTTGCTTTCATAGAAGAAGTTACAGATTTTCAAACTTTAGTAGTTTCTTCGATAGTTCAGATCTTAAAGATAATCAATTTAATGATGAAATAGAACATCACCCAATAACATAAATTGCGTTTAAATACGTTTACATGCCATACGATGACTCTGCCGTTTTAGTTACCTTAATTTCGCTATATACAAATCAAGCCAATGAAAAATAGCCGAAAAATATCAACAACAAATTCAGGGCGCAACCGCAGCGTCCCGTGTAGAAGTAAAAGCCATTAACGACATAGCACTCAATATTTTGATGAATTGCCGCCACCCAACTAGTACTCGAGTAATACACCCTGCCTCTTAAGCTGTTAATCTCCTTCTCACAGCAACACCCACCAGTTCGCCTCAAAAAAAAAGTATATTTATAAGTGGAACCTAAACATGGGCTGCCGCTGTGCTATACTGTTCGTAATGGGTTCAGTCGCTGCTCTGGGGGTGGGTGTGCTGCTGGCCCCAACTAAAACTCTATTGTTTTCTGGTGGAATATACATTTTTAATTGTATTTAGTAGTCGGGAACTCGACTATAGCATTCCTTTTTGTTTTTATTTTGTAAAGTTATATAAAAATTATATTAATACAAGCGCTAAAGCTACGCATTCATAACCTTGTTATGTTATGGCGCGCCGCCTCATATCATCAAAGCGACTGTTGCATTTATCGTTGTTAAGCTCTTCAAGAAATAACGAACTGTGCTGACAAACTTCTTTCTACTTCTAAATTTATTTCAGTTGACTATGAATGATTTTAGCGTACACAGAATAATTGGGCGTGGCGGTTTTGGAGAAGTATACGGATGCCGAAAAGCAGACACCGGCAAAATGTATGCTATGAAATGTTTAGACAAAAAACGTATTAAAATGAAACAAGGAGAAATGTTGGCATTAAATGAAAGAAACATGCTGCAAGCAGTCAGCACTGGGGTAAGATTATTTTAACTGTGTATTGTTTTTATATAAATGAATAATTTTCTTAGATTGATTGTCCGTTCATAGTGTGCATGACTTATGCATTTCATACACCGGATAAGCTTTGTTTTATATTAGACTTAATGAATGGCGGTGACCTGCATTACCATTTATCTCAACACGGGATTTTTAGTGAAGACGAAATGAAATTTTATGCAGCGGAGGTAAGAAATGTATTGAAATATTAGTGCAATATTTTATTGCTCATTAAATAATTTTAAAATTTAGGTGATTTTGGGCTTAGAACACATGCATAAACGTTGCATTGTGTACCGTGACCTAAAACCTGCCAACATATTGCTTGATGAAAATGGACACATACGAATTTCTGATTTAGGATTGGCTTGCGACTTTTCAAGAAAGAAACCACATGCTTCAGTTGGAACTCACGGATACATGGCTCCAGAAGTTCTATCTAAAGGAACTTCATATGATTCCAGTGCAGATTGGTTTAGTTTCGGCTGCATGTTGTATAAGTTACTGAAAGGCCATTCACCATTTCGACAACATAAAACAAAGGATAAGCATGAAATTGACAAAATGACATTGACTATGGTACGTTTGCAGCTCTAACATATATATATATATAATATAAAATAATGTTTAAAATTGAAAGCAAAGCCTTTTTTTAATGAAGGTTGTATAAAAGTCGGATCTGTCCGGATCATGAGGGAACGCCTTTAAAAGTTTTTAATGCCATTAATTTTTCAATCTTTTGGGAGATCAAAAACACTATTAGAAGAACGAAAAATTACAAAAAAATAATCTAAAGTGATTTTTGTATCATCGGTTTCGCTGATTTTTGAATAAATTTTATTTATTTATTGTTATTGGGTCATTCCATGTATAACGTGACTACCATTTTTCAAAAATGGAAAAAAAAAATGTTTTCGATAGGGGAGGAAAATACAAAAATCATTATTTTAGGTTTTGCCCCTTTTAGTTTTTACAGCGATTTAAAGTTTACGACGCCTTTGAATTAAAAAATTCGTAACTTAGTCTAAAGTTTAAAACTGTTTAAACTGCCTGAAATTTTTGCTAGAAAATCTTTTAGCGCAGCACCTATCGAAAAAACTATATTTTGTATTTTTAAATTTAAAATTAAAATATTTGTAAGCACTTTTAAAAATAAAAATTTATTTTATAAAAACATTTCTGTTCGCTTTTTCAAAAAAAATGTTTAATGTAGCTTAATAAATTATCAACAAAGTGGGAAATACAATTTTTGTAATTTCTTTGAGTTCTGTTTTTAAAAAATTGTTCAGGCGGCCAGAGCACAAAGTGCAAAACAGCGCACAGTGGTTGCGCCCTTATGCCAGAATTAAAAAAATGCATTACATAAATTTTCGAAAAGTAAATAAATCTCCTCTAAAATGAACAAGCTTCTTAATGGCAAACCAAATATTTCTGGAAATCTGATGGGACTTTCTAAAAATTAAATTAAAGTTGTGTACACATGTTCATTTGCAAACCGCAGCTGCACGCATCGCGACCATTTCAAAACAAAATCAAATTTTAAAGTGGTCAGACGATTAATTACGTTTCCGAATATAAGATATTTTTTATGAAGTTTTGAGTTCAAGGTATTTATTTTATGTTACATAATTAATAAAAGATAACTTCTGTGCTTATTTTTAAACGTTTACTTATTTAACGTTTTTTTTTGGTACAATTTTTGTGAATCTTTTTGTATGATTACTTACAGTTTGGATGCCCGAAGCTGGGTCCAATTTTCGTAATAAGATGTATGTGTTCGTCCCTCCAAATTTGTATAAACGTGACTGCGCAATTGACTAGTAAGAACGCACAGAAAGTTCGGGTATACACAATGATCTTTATTCCTCAACTTGACCCTCGGCTTGGGGCCGATAGTAACAAAATGGTAATTCTATAGCCTTCTTCTACTCACGTCGCCGTTCCCAGACTTGTGAGCCGCCAATGTGGTCCCTGAGACAAACGCTAGGTTTTAAGAGAACGCTTCCACCCTAGCCTTTTTGCCGCGGACTTGTAGACGTTGCAGTAACCGATCGCTGGTACGATGTCCTGGCTCTGCTTCTCGTTGGGTTCTGCTCCAACTTTTGAGACACCAGCCGATCTAACGCGCGTCCTTTCGGACTTGTCGCACCAGGACCTGTACAACTCTCGCTGGACGATTAGGCGTAGGCCGGACTTCGCCAAGGCAGTTAGTTCTAGACAAGTTCCCTTTCTTTTTGTGCAACTGTGTCTGACACGCCGGGCAATAAGCAAGCTCAAATCGAGACAGAAGTGACAAAGTGCCTTGATTTAGTCGTGTGATGCCATAAAAACCTCAGCTACCCGTGTCTCAATTCGGAGACTTTAAATTCTAAGTCCCGAACGTTTCGACGTAGCGATCTTGCTCCTTGTCGACTCTGCACGGCTCAACTTGATTCTTCATTGATTACTAGTTCACTTGATGACTGGTACTTGTCGACTGGTAAAAGACTAATCCAGCTTCCTGCGCTCGGCCTGCTTATATAGGCCTCTGTTAACCGCTAGTTATCGCCGTCTCCTTGCCTCCTGGTCTAAAGTCCGGCACCACAGCAGAGTCCGAAGTCCGGTGCTGTCACGTTACTTCCTTTTGCACCCGGCACTTCGACGGTCTCTCTGTTGTTGCCGTGTCTCTCGTACACTTCCTGTCCCTCTCTGTGCCCTCGACACCACACTCTCTCAGTACTACCGTAACTACGGCGAATTCGCCGCGTATCTGGCAACTGGTAGGCCACTGCTTGCGTAATTGCTTGCACTGCTTGTCTACGAATTCAAATGAATTCAGAATGCTGAAATATATTTTTTGCGTGCCGCAAGTACAATACCAGTGGCAATAGTCGCCGCAATAAGTACAATACCAATTGGGCGGCGGAGAAGTGAATACGTCAAGAGATCTTTTCGTACTGATTTTATTGAGCATAACTTGGGGCTTATATACATGTTCTTGGGTCAAAAAGGGTGTTTACATAGGTCTATTCCAGATTACAATAGTCAGTAACATGGTTTATCCTAATCAAACAATACAATTTAGATAACGATATCGTAGGTAAAATAGTCTCAAATATTCTGCACGCAGATGGTGTGAAAATGTGACCGATCGTGGGCTTTCTTTTATGATGGGTCAGAATTGACACACATGTGGACACAGGCATATGTGGTTCTGTATTGATTTAGGTAGGCCGATATCACTTATGACTCTTGTCTATTTAACCCATAAATATTAATCTGCGAACAATTTTCTTCTTGGCGAAAATCGTACATTCTCCCGGCCGTTGAACGGTTTGTTCAACAGTCATTAATGATGATGGTAAACGGCTGAGTTGAAAATGTGGTAATAGGTCCATGTTGAAGTGGTAGAGGAGACGCAGATTTACGCCATCTTTTGACCAGATGAATAATGGTGATAATCATTAAAAAAATTAATCCAATATAAATGGCGGTTTGATGATGCTCAATATTACATAAATTGTGTGGTAGCTAAAGCTATTTTGTGGAAACAGTTCCATTTTTCTTTGAAGAAGCTCATTGAAATGTCAATTACAACCGTCATATTTGAATTTGATGGCAAACTTTCAGTTAAATCGCTATCTCCGAATCGAGCATATGATGCCTGTAGTGTAGTTTCTGTCGTTATCGTCATCAATGTATTTCGAATTGTGCACCCAGGACTTGAGGTCAAATAGCCGGAGCCTTGTAGTTCTATGTTAGATGTCCCATCTAAGCAAACAGCAGAAAGCTTTAAAGATTCGTTTGTTGCAAATATCTATTGATTCTTGGCATACATTCCAGACCAAAGAAAGGATTTTCTTGTACTTACTATTTTACAGGATGAATCCGTTTTATTATGAAATATTTTCATCTCACAACTAATTTCTGATGAAAACATTCTTTCAACAAACAAATAAAATCGCTTTTAGCTCTTTCTTGACATAACGTTAAGTCTGCTTCAGACATTTCAACAAATTCATCACGATGACTGTTGATTGCAAGAAACGGTGATTTTATTTCAATCGAATGAATTTCACCTTTACCCAGAAATGGAATTGGAGTCAATTTGTAGATGTCCAGAACTTGCGAGGATATTAAAGGAAAATTTACTTTAATAATGACATGTGAAGGATACAATAGTTCCTTCACCCTTCATTAGCTGGTATGCCATAAGAATGTTATCTGGGTGAACTGGTCCAGGTCTCAAGTGACTATGTATTCGTTCCATTTTCTCCTTTAGTTGTCGTGGTGATATTAGCATTGGGCTAATTGTATTATGACAGTGTTATATACCATGGAAGTTTATTAAATACACTCTTGCTACTTTCTATGTCGGAGATATAGTTTTCAATCAAATTTAATCGTTTTGAGTTGGAAATCTCATCTCTTTTTATGACATTAATTGTTGAATCAATCAATGGTGTCTGATTTTTTAATAATACGCCAAACAGACTACTTGCTATATTTCCAACGATATCCAGTGGTGCTCTTTGTCTACGCGATTTTGCTAGTAGGATATTTTTAGCCTGCAGATCTTCTTCTAAATGTTTGAAGTGATGATTCAGACTTGTACATGCTTCTTGTTGTGGAAATTGTGTACATAAATGACCAATTTTGCTAACTCCCATTGAAAATGTGTTCATATCATTCCAATACGGCTTTAAATTATAATAAACAATTATAGACCAATCCAAACTTTTCAAATAAGATTCCTGGCCTTGAAACAAATTTTGTTACATTGATTGATTGTGCAATAGTTAATGGTAACAAAAGAAGCATTACTATCAATGTCATTGCCATTGACGACAGTCCTGAAGATTTTTTTCCTTGTTGGTGTGTTTTCTTCAACAATTCTGTCCTCAGGTTTCTCTAATAGTGGATGCTTACATACCGGTTCTTCCTCTGCGAATGATGGAGCTATGTGCTGAATGTCCCTCTTGAAGAATCCTTTTGCTGTTTTGACTTCCACTACTCTGACGAAATTGTCTTCTCCGTGGAATACCTTGACAATTCTTCCCATTGGCCATTGCAGTACTGGTGTGTTATCTTCTTTTATTAACACCAGCTCTCCTTCCTTAATGTTTACTGATGATCGTCTCCACTTTTGCATTTGCTGCAGTGTTATAGATAATCAGTTGACCATTGCTTCCAAAAGGCGTGCTTAAGTTTTGATACAGCTTGCCATCGTTGTCCCAATGTCTGTGGTTGCTGAGAAGGTTCGCTGTCAGCCTGGGCGGTGAGTGGTTCTCCAATAAGAAAATGACCTGGAGTAATTGCTGTCAAATCATTTGGATCAGTTGACATGGAAACCAAAGGTCGAGAGTTTAAAATTGCTTCAATCTCGACTATAACAGTTTCTAACTCCTCATAAGTTAGATTAGCTGTGATGACATTTTTTAACAGCAAATGCTTAGCTGATTTTACAGCAGCTTCCTACAATCCTCCGAATTGCGGTGCTCTTGGTGGAATAAACTTAAAATTGATTCCTTTATCAATACAGCTTTCCACAATGCATTGTTTTGCCTTTTCGGAAAATATTGCATCTTCCAGCTCTTGAA